GTAAGGAAGAAACAGATTTATAAGAATAAGAGAATATCATTCAGCCATGAAAAAGGACAAAATCTTGCCATTTATAACAATACAGACCTTGAGAAATGCTAAGAGAAATAAGAGAAAGGCAAATGTCATGTGATCTCACTTATATGTGGAATCTAAAAAAAAAAAAAAGAAAAGAAACCCAAGCACATAGACACAGAGAACAAATTGGTGGTTGCCAGAGGTGAGGGGGGCAGAGAGTGGCTGAAATGAATGGAAGGGGTCAAAAGGTACAAAGTTGCAGTTATAAAATTATGAAGTCCTGGGAATGTATGTACAGTGTGGCGACTATAGGTAACAATACTATATTGCATATTTAAAAGTTGCTAAGAGTGTAGATCTTAAAAGTTCTCATCACAGGGAAAAAATTTGTAACTGTGTGGTGATACATTAGATGTACTGTGGTGATTATTTCACAGTATGTACAAATATTGAATCATTATACTCTACACCTGAAACCAATACAATGCTATATCTCAATTACACTTCAATTTTATTTTTTTATTTTTTTTAAAGATTTTATTTATTTATTTGACAGAGAGGGACACAGTGAGAGAGGGAACACAAGCAGGGGAAGGGGGTGGGGGAGAAGCAGGCTTCCCGCTGAGCAGAGAGCCCAATGCGGGGCTCGATCCCAGGACCCCGGGACCTGAGCCGAAGGCAGACGCTTAACAACTGAGCCACCCAGGCGCCCCTACACCTCAATTTTAAAAAGTCCTAAGATTGCAAAGTCCATAAAGGCTGGTTGGAATAGAGAGAGCAGGAGGCGAAGCTGAGGAGGGGGCTGCTATAAGAGCACAGAGGGTCACTTCCCTAAGAGCACAGGAAGCCGAAGGGTTACTTCAGGGTGGGGTGGGGGGACTGGCGACTGGTTTGCTCATGAAAATTCGGCTGCCAGGCAGAGCAAAGATGGGAGCATGGCAAGAGTGGACTGTAGGCAAGGTTAGGATTTCATTTCAATTTTCAGAATCAACTTACAGACCAATGGTTCTCATCCAAGGATGGTTTGGCACTTCTGGCGCCATTTGGAAATGTGTGGAAATAATTTGGGGTTGCATTAATTGCAGATGGGAAAAGCCCAGTATTGTGAAGGATGCCCCTCCCCAAAGGCAGAACCGTCCTCTTCCAAATGCCAAGGCGGCCCACACTGGGAAATCCAGCCACTGGCAAAACCAGAAGTCTCCACTGTAGGAACATAAATATTATTAGCTGTGACAATGTGAAAGTCATTGTACGGCTGAGAGATGTGGATGAGAGGAGGGGCAAGAGACGTGAAGGGAAATGTAGAGGTGAGGATTCATTCATCCTACATACAAGGCTGTTAAGAGACACTATCTAGAGTTGATGGGTCCAAACATAGAGGTTAAGTGTATTCAAGTTGTAAAGAGCACTAAAAGTTAAAAACAAAATATAACTAAAAATTGTGAGAAGAGAGAAAAGGAGAAGGAATAGTATAAATAAGTTAAAGTCCTTATCTTTCATAGCAGGGAACACTATTCAAGTTAATGAATCAAGAAATGGAGGTGGAAATACAATATTTAAAATTGAAGAGGAAAATATCCCCAAATCAGGAAGAAAACCACCAGAAAAAGAAGTGCCATTGGAGTTTGAATTCGGGGGAAGGGAGTAGTAAGGGCAACTCTGACTTTTCATTGTATCCCTTCCCTGAAACACCATTTGCACCTTACTGCCACCTGTATATGTTACATAAGTACGTCAACTAGTTTCCTGCCTTTAGTGCATGTCCCTGTGGTGGCCGTCAGATGGCTCCCTCACTCTCTGAGGAGCTGGTTCTGTTTAGCAGGGACCTGCCAAAAACTACAAGCCACCTTCAGACATGTGTCCAGAGTTTTCTGGTGTTGAACTGTACCTTCTCCTCATGGTCACTGGGGCCTGATCCATGACTGGTTCATTCCAAGGCTGAAAGAACGTCCCTGCCCCCACTGGGTCCAGATCCATTTTTCCTCACGTGGTCGGGAACTGAGCAGCTGCTGGGAGGGGCTGGAAGCCAGCCAAAGAGGAAAAGGGCAAGTTGTCCAGGACATCCCATTGGCTGGGGGGCTTGCTCCCATCCATGGGTATCAGGTAAGAGCCCTGATGCCCTCTAAAGGAGCATGTGTTATACGCAAACAATGAATCAGGGAACACTACATTAAAAACTAATGATGTACTGTATGGTGACTAACATAACATAATAAAAAAAAAGAAAAAAAAATAAAGGAGCATGTGTGTGAGTAGAGGATATGGGGGGACAGGGTGAAGTGCAGTGGGTGGGGGCATGAGCAGGAATTAGAATCCAGATGGCCTGAACCTAACCGTCCACACACCAGCCCAGCTGGGCCTCTACGTGTCATTATCTTTTATGTGTCCAATTAGTAGAACTACTCTATTTTTCTCTATGTGACCCTTCCGTGAGACAGTGAGATTGTACTGTTGTTAGTTGCTTACATATCTGCAGCTTAATCTTCTATCATCTGTGATCTCCTCCTCAAGGGCAAGGTCTGAGCCTCATTCATCTTTATATCCGCTGCACTGAGCATGTATCTAATAAATTCTGGTTGAATAAAGGAATGAATGGATGAATGAATAAACAAATGAAAGCCAAATGAATAAAATGCTTATTATATCCCCCACCTTTTAAGAAACATTAGCAAGGACTAGCATGGAGGACATTAGGAGAAGGAAGGGAAAAATGAAGGGGGGGAAATCGGAGGGGGAGATGAACCCTGAGAGACTGTGGACTCCGAGAAACAAACTGAGGGTTTTAGAGGGAAGGGGGGTGGGGAGTGTGGGTATTAAGAAGGGCATGTATTGCATGGAGCACTGGGTATTATATGAAAACAATGAATTGTGGATCACTACATCAAAAACTAATGATGTATTGTATGGTGACTAGCATAACAATAAAATTAAATTAAATTAAAAAAATAAAAATAAAAAACATTAGCAAAACACGGTATGGAGTATAACAAAAATTTCCTTACTTTCTGGTGCATCCCTAATTATGTGAATCTGGTACGTGTGTGTGTGTATTTGTGTGTATTACCAAAACCACTTGCCAGAGTTAAATAACTGGCAATGGGGAAACAATTTAAGCCTTTGGGATCCCTAAGGCTGCAGAGAGGCTTAGATACCTCTAGGACTAACAGATCAAAGAGGAAATTCAATGACACTGCAAAGGTCAGATGACATTTACGGAAAGACAGGCTCACTCAGGAAATGTTTAGAATTGGCGAGGCAGGGGCACCTGGGTGGCTCAGTCGTTAAGCGTCTGCCTTCAGCTCGGGTCATGATCCCGGGGTCCTGGGATCGAGCCCCACATCGGGCTCCCTGCTCTGCGGGAAGCCTGCTTCTCACTCTCCCACTCCCCCTGCTTGTGTTCCCTCTCTCGCTGTCTCTCTCTCTCTGTCAAATAAAATCTTAAAAAAAAAAAAGAATTGGCGAGGCAATAAGATTAAAGAGCATGAGTTTAGACTAGGAAGGAGTAGGGCCTTGGCACCAGAAACACCAACTAGATTCCTCTATTACCCAGGGGGGGAACAAAGTATCTCACTTTAGTCATGTGATCAAAGTATAGCAGAGTTAAGATCCCCGCACTGGGCTCTATGCTCAGCAGCTCGGAGGGCGGGGGAGTCTGCTTGAGATTCTCTCCATCTCCCTCTCCCTCTGCCCCTCCCCCCACTCATGATCTCTAAAATAAACAAATAAATCTTAAAAAATAAAGAAGTCAGTCAGTCACAGAGGCTGCCATGTCATTATAATCACAATTTCTTCTTGCTGCTATTAACAATGGAAAAGAACTTTGTAAAGATTTTCAAAGATCTTTGATTAATCGCTGTGAAAACTGAATCATGCCCTGGTGGGTATTGCAATGGACTAAAAGTAACCAAGGATCATTATGCCGGGAATGGTGTGCCAAATTTCTTTAGCAGGAAATTATAGATGGATGAAGTTATATTCTGCCTGGATGGGTATAACTAAGAGGAGCTCAAGCCATTAACATTTGTGAAGAAGGTTCTACTATTCTTCCAGGTTTGTATCCTCCCCTAGGGAGTCTGGACTTTGAGTAATTCCTGGTTAACAGACATGATCAACTGATTGATCCATTCATTCAACAGTATTTTTTGAACTCCCATTGTATGTTTCATCTGTTTGAAGAAAGGGACCTTTCTTATCCTTTTTTGAGCCCATTCTTGCTCAGACCGAATACTTGAAAGACATTTTCTGGTTGAATGATGGGCTGAAACAAAATGGATTTTCCCATACTGGTTTCATATTTGGGTTGTAGTTGACAGAATTTATTACTTCGGTAAAACTTCCTTAAGTTTAGGAGTGTTAAACTTGGGAGATTATAGTTTTCTTTTATATTCCCCTTGCAGTGAAGAGCTCTTTGTATTCTCATTGTTATAAAAATCAGCTGCTGATGGTACCCTTACATAAATTCTCTCTGTCTGGGTTGGCTCTCATTTTTTACTGAGCTTCTCTACCTTGTTAACCCAAGTTGTTGACCTTAAAGCCTCAGTGTAAAACCAGGCTCACTGATTTCACCCTTTTAAAGTAATTTAGTATTATAAATTATAGTAAAGTAATTAGTACTCCTATGTGCGTGTGGGTGCGCGTGTGTCTTTGTGTGTGTGACAGATTGAGAGAGAGGATAATTGGGGCTTCAAATTAAAGTTTAGCTTTTGAACTTGGACTATTCATGCATTCTCTGTCTTTGGTCTATTCTCAGGGAATCTAAGAAATAAACAAGCAAACACTCTAGGTGGCCATTATTCTGAGACATAGAAAACTGAAAACAACCTGTAGATAATATAACTTGTGCACGGCTCGGGTAGAGTGTAGCGGTGGGGCTGTCAGAAGAAAAATAACACATCTCCAGTTGAAAATAATTAAACGGAAATTCACTAACCCGGCCCAGAAACCCAAGATGAACAAAGGGTCAAGGTGTTGCGCTGGTTCTACTATACCTTGGAAGGCATGGGTTTCTTGAAGGTGATTTCGGCTTGCATCCAGACACCCCTTGGAGACTCCAGCACAGACCAAATTTTCTCTTGAACTACGTGGTTCTCTTCAAAGATATAAACTGCCAGGGTGTCACTCATTTTTAAAAACCCATAGATGGCATAATAAAAACGTAGACAATACTGCAAGTTTCCTGGCAGGGAGGGACCGTAGAGCCTTCCGATGTAGCCAGGCTGAGATGTAAACTTTGTGTTGGCCAGCAAGTAGTACCCTGCGAACAGGCAAAACATTCAGCTATCAGCAATGACAAACTTAAATCCCCTAACCCAGATGATCAAGTGGGAAAATTTGGTTAAAAGTAATGGGATTTGAGACGAACCATGAGAGATGATGGACTCTGAAAAACAAACAGGGTTCTAGAGGGGAGGGGGGTGGGAGGATGGGTTAGCCTCGTGGTGGGTATTGAGGAGGGCACATTCTGCATGGAGCACTGGGTGTTATGCACAAACAATGAATCATGGAACATTACATCTAAAACTAATGATGTAATGTATGGGGATTAACATAAGAATAAAAAAAAAAGTAATGGGATTTGCCAACAGAGACTATTCCTATAGGCTTTAAATGATAGAACGCATTTTGTAATATCTGTGGCTTAAGTGATAGATATATCCTGCAACTCTATTACCGATAAAACTTCTCCGGTTCTAAGTAAACTTCATAAACCAGTATAGATTCCCATCTGCATATGCTCAGAAGCCAGTCATCAGTTAGGGTTTGTGTTTTTCATGAAACAAAAGGGATGAAATCATCTTGGGGCTCCAGCTGCCTGGGTCAATCAGGTGACACAGACTGAGTACTTAGTACTGGGTCCTAGTGAACGTTAGGCCTGGGACAGATTTTTCCTTCTTATCTCTGCAGCGACCAGCGGAGATAGAGAGAGCACAGGCTGATCTGGCAGTCCTTGGAATTTTGGTTATTTCACAGGAGCATTGTTATGGACTGAATTTTGTCGTTCCCCCAGATCTATTTTGTTTCAGTCTGCCATTCGACCAGAAAAGATCTCTCAAGTACCCTCTCTGTGCAAGAAAAGGGTCCAAGGAAGAATACTTATTTCTTTTAAATAAGAAAAAAAGAAACATAAGGTCAAGAACCTCCTCTCCCTGCTCCTCCACCACCCCCACGGTAAACTTAAAACAGATCCATGTATCCTAGAAAGCCTGGGTAGAAAAGAAAATAACACCTGCTTTTCTTTCTTTCCTTTTTATGCTCCTCCCCCATCCATTTTCCTTTGATCGCCTCAGTCTTTGTGCTTAGTTTGGTTCTACCCAATGATTTAATTCATCTGGCAAAAGGTTCTTGGGTTATTTCACATGAGTGGTGATATGGACTGAGTTGTGTCCCCCCCAAATCCATTGGTTGAGACCCTAATTTCCAATGCAACTTTATTTGAAGATTGGGCCTTTAAGGAGGTAATTAAATGAAGTTATAAGGGTGGGGCCTTAATTCCATAGAACTGATGTCCTTATAAGAAGAGGAAGAGACACCAGAGAGCTCTCTCTCTCCACTGGTACACATAGAGTAAAGGCCATGAGGACCCAATGAGAAGGTGCCACAAGGCAGAGAGGTCTCACCAGAAATCAACCCTGACAGCATCTCGATCTTGGGCTTCCAGCTCCAGAACTGTGAAAAAAATGCATTTCTGCTTTTCAGGTCACCCAGTCTGTGATATTTTGTTTTGGCCACCGAGCAGACTAACATGGGTGGCCATAGCCAGAACAACATTTTTGAAACCTGAATTTAATTCTACTCTTCTTCTACTTAAAACCTTTTGATGGTTTCTCATTTCCTTTATAAAAAAATCCCAAAAGCTCACTCTGGCCTGCCACACCCACGGTGTATGTCCTAACTCCATATTCCTCCACTCTCCTGCCCATGGTGCAGCCACACTAACCTTCTCATTGCTTGGGTTGTCCAGCTCTTTCCATACTCAAGACCTTCACAGATGCTGTTCCCTCTGCCTGGATTCCTCCCACTCTCCCAGCTAATGCTCTCTCCCCGCAGAAAAGCCTTCTCAGGATCTCTCCCCTATTCTCTCTCAGAGCCCACTCTTCATTTCTTCCATAGCAAGTGCCACAATGTGTAATTCGAAGTTTATTTGTGTGTATATTTGTCTAACATTTTTCTTGCCCGCTGAAATGATTGTTAGCCAGTGAGGGCAGGACCTGATTTGTTCACTAGCATATCCCCCAGGAGTTAGTTTGGCCAACGACTATAGGGTTTTGTAGTGCCTGTATTTCTACAAGTTAAGCCACCTCTAAGAAAAGAATTCATGATTGTAATCATGTATAAAGTAATCATGTAATCAAGTATAAAATTGTGAGGGTCCCTTTCATGGCCCTTCCCAGGGCCTGTGCAAGTAAGGTGCTTTGAAACATAAGTTTCCTTAGTGTATGGTAAGCACACCCCGGTGCCCAGGGTATAAATAGCCATTGAATAAATGAATAAGACACTAACCCTTGAAAACCAAGCTCTTTGCAGCAGAATCTACGGGAGTGGGCTTCACAGGGGATGCCATCCAAGTGATTAGGTAGATAATCCTTATACAGGGGAGCTCAAACTGGTTTCTTACAGTTCCTTGTAGACATAACCATCAAGTGCCCCCCCAACATCTTCCAATAGTTTTTTATAGCTTTTATTGCCTCACAAAATATTTTTCATTGAGTAAAATACACATAACATAAAATTTACCATTTTAACCACTTTAAAGTATACAATTCAGTGGCATTTAGTACATTCACAGTGCTGGGCAACCATCACCACTATCCCACTCCAAAATATTTTCATCACCCCAAAAGGAAACTCTATACCCATTAAACAGTAACTCCCTAGCCCCTGGCCACCAAGAATCGGCTTTCTGTCTCTATGGATTTGCCTCTTCTGGATGTTTCACGTAATTGGAATCTAATAGCTTTTTAAAGGCACTGCTCTATCTAAAGGGAAGAGCGAGATAATGTCCAAAGGTTTGGCTGTTTAAAGAACTGGCAGACAGTCATGCTAGCATAGAAACTTAAATGCCTTTTTTTTTTTTAAATGGCCAAACACAAGATTACCAATCGTTTTTACTTCTTTACAGTTGTCTTTTTTTTTTTAAGTGGCCATCTTAAGTGATGTGGAGTAAGAATAGCAGACGGAGCATGAATAGTACCCCCACCCCCAGGGTCCCCACATGCACAGACTTCTGATTTACCAATGCCTGATGTGTGGTCTCCGGCCCGATACATGTTTGGTTTTACTTTCACCCGGGTCCAGCCTGGACCTTCTTTATCTTGATAAAAGTTGCAGAGATCTTCCTCAAAATTGCAACTGGCTTCCACGGCACTGAAGGGAAGCTCTGAACAAAGGAGAACCAAAGTTAAAGCACCAGACCCTAGAGTCTCAAAGGGCTACATCAACTGGTTGACAAATACATACACATTTGTGCCAGGGAGACTGAATAAATAAACCACAACAAAATATTTTTACCCTAATGGCATGCTGACAGGTTAGCATCAAAATAACATCTCAGCATGACAGGAAAATTGTTCTTTTCCTCCCTTAAGGGATGGAGGGAAGGAGCTCTGTTCACACTCTCTATAAAAAATAAAGAAGTATCGGGTGCCTGGGTGGCTCAGATGGTTAAGCGTCTGCCTTCGGCTCAGGTCATGATCCCAGGGTCCTGGGATCGAGTCCCGCATCGGGCTCCCTGCTCCTTGGG